TAGGCTCTAAAAATGCTGAAAAGATTTTCACAGAACGTCATAACTTGCCCTGGGAATAACACATGCTATATTAACTTCTAAGATTTCCCGAGGATGCGGTGTTATAGCATCGAACGTAATCATACTTCAAAAATTATGAACATGTAAATCGTGTATATCATAAGTACGGTTACAGATACCGACTTTAAACTATTGCTGAGTAACGTGAGTGTAAATACGCATCATCCACACGACAGACCGCGGACAAGGGAAAATGCACAACTCATTGCATTTAAATTTATACGTAGAAAATAGAAAAAAACATTGTTTGTGGAATCAAAAACCACTAAGCAGATTTTATTAAAATGTTCATAGTAAGTCAAACGATCCCATGAAAGTAACATAGGTTGGAAAAAACTGAGGAGTAATAGCATCAGAAGTATTCATACATCTGAAAGAATGTACATATGTTTGTAGAACATTTTCTATGGGAATATCATAACGTAGCGCCTTGAAAATATGGTTGAGTAACATGGATACAAATACTTATCATCCGATGAGGATAAACTTTCGAATGATGAGGATACATACATATGTATGTATGTACATATGTATGTATATTGAAATAAAAATTGTGTAGAATTGAAAAAAAAAAATTGGTTGACATTATAATTTTCCATTTTTGTCAGTTTGTGAAAAAATTTTTATTTTGAACAAAATCACACAAAGTGTTATTTGGATTAAAAAAAAAAAACACAGAAAAACAAACATTTTAATTATAAATCGTTTTATCACCTGGAAAAAGTCAGAGACTGGGATAGGGTAAATTCAGATACACCACTATTATTTCAAACCAGTAAGGAACGTTCAAAAGTCCGACGGGCCCGACAATATAAGGGTGTCATATTGTCGGGCCCAACTTTGGGTACATACAGGAGATGCAAATTTCAATCCAATTCGGATCATAAATGCGACCTGTACTTTGTTAACAAAAACACATGGACGGACGGAGGGACAGACGAACATGCGTAAATCGACTCAGAAAGTGATTCTATGCATATTCTCAAAAGGAACTATGGGTCTATCTCGATTCCTTTTGCCTGTTAGAAACATATGGACATAGACATAATACCGTGTACCACAGTGTGGTGAAGGGTATAAAAATCGAGTTTTTTGAGTCTGCATATTTATTCCTTTATACTGTAGTACTAAGAGCTAAACACTTTCTTCAAGGCTTCTAAACAATTTGTGGAGGAGGTAACAGATGGATAATATATATTTTTTGAATGGTTGTTACTTTGCGAAAAAAATTGTGTTTGAAGAAAAGAAAAATTACCACCATTACAGAAAACAGCAAATTATTTAATAACTACTATACAACTACCACAACATGGACATTAATGCGAGCATATAAAAATACAAGGGTTTACCTAATTTTAAATTAAATTTAGTAAATATTGCAGGATGCGTACTAATTGACCATATCTAAATTTGAATTTGATAACTTCTGCAGGGGCAGCGAAACGCCACGGGTCCCGCTAGTAGCCTATATAGTCCAAGTGTTAATACGTTTTTAACCGAATATGCATACAACCACCGTCCGTCTGTTGATGTTAAATTGTAAACAAAGTACAGGTCGCATTTATAATCCGATTTATCTGAAATTTGGTAGAGCTCATTTATTTGGCCCAAGAACGAACCCTATTGAAATTAGGAAAAAACGGTTCAGATTTAGATATAACTCCCATATATATTTTTGTCCGATTTACGGACTTTAGTCCATGCAAATCATTCGATTTGCACGAATTTTGGCATAGCGTACTGAATTAAGTCTAGAATGATGTGTACTAAGTTTTTTGAAAATCGGTTCAGATTTAGATATAGTTCCTATATATAGATTCGCTCGATTTTTTGTAAATGGTGCACCAAAGTCCCTCAAAATCTTTCGATTTGCACGAATTTTGGCATAGCGTACTAAATTTAGTCTAGAATGATGTGTGCTAAATTTCGTGAAAATCGGTTCAGATTTAGATATAGCTCCCATATATAGTTTCGCCCGATTTTTGGTAAATGGTTCACTAAAGGCCCTCAAAATCTTTCGATTTGCACGAACTTTAGCATAGCGTACTGAATTAAGTCTAGAAAGACGTGTGTTAAGTTTTGTGAAAATCGGTTCAGATTTAGATATAGCTCACATATATTCTTTCACCCGATTTTATGTAAATAGTGCACCAAAGTCCCTGCAAATCTTTTGATTTGCACGAATTTTGGCATAGCGTACTTAATTAAGTCTAGAATAATGTGTACACAGTTTCGTGGAAATCGGTTCAGATTTAGATATAGCTCCCATATATATTTTCGTCCGATTATATGTAAATAGTGCACCAAAGTCCCCATATGTCTTTCGATTTTGGGATAGCGTACTGAATTATATCTAGAATGATGTGTGCAAAATTTCGTGAAAATGGGTTCAGATTTACATACACCTCTATATATATCTCCGTCCGATTTTAACTAAATGGCTATCCATATCTAGGGCGATTGACACAACGTACTGAAGTTAATATAAACAAGTAAAAAAGCGTTAAGTTCGGCCGGGCCGAACTTTGGATACCCTCCACCATAGAAATACCGACAATTTTTTGATAATTCTTCCAATCGATTGTTGTAAACCAAATAGAAAATTCAGCAATTTCTTGCAATTCAGCAATGGTACTTTGAAACATGTGTATAAAATCCTGAAAATACTCCAATTTAAAAGGCAATATTATATAGGAGGCATACTAAAGCGGAACCAATATTGACAACATTGTGTAGGAATTAGCAACTTCTTGGTGTTTTCATTACATTAGGGGTTAGGCCTAATTAAGGGCCGATGTAATCAAGTTCCAAGCTAATATTTTAGTTTTCAATCCCAATACCGGCCATTACGTTAATTATTAAATAGGTAAGATGTTTTATATAGGACTTGGTCCTAAATCATTCATTCTCAACCTCACTTTTTAGATTTTATGTCGATACCCTCCGAGATAAAAATGATTACACCATATGACTAAATCGACTAAATCGTTTTAAAATTCCATACTATGTGGGGTATGAACTGAAAATATCGTCTACCGAATAACCCTCCTACTATGATGGAATACAGCTATATGGGATAACCCAAACACTCGGAAAAAAATCAGTTAACTATTTTAAAATGAAAGAAGAAAGTTATAAGGGGACTACCCCTAAAAGGGGGTGAATATTAATTATTTTTTGTTGTGAGATTTGATACCATATACGACTATAAAATACCAAATTACAGCGAATTCGGTTGAAAACCGTGCTCAAGAACCCCAAAATACCGAAAATTGGAGGGTACCCTTATATGGGGGCTACCCGAAAAAATGGACTTATATGGACTTATAATTTTTAGTTGAGAGATTTGCTTCGCAATAAAAACTCAAAGTACCAAATTTCAGTGAATTCGGTTGAAAAACGGGCTCAAGAACCCCAAAATACCGAAAATTGGGGGTACCCTTATATGAGGGCTACCCGAAAAAATGGACCTATATTTATAATTTTTTGTGGAGAGATTTGATACCCAATAAGAACTCGAAGTACTAAATTACAGCCAATTCGGTGAAAAATCCGGTCAAAACCCCCCAAAAACTGAAAATTGGGTGGTACCATTATATAGGGACTACCAGAAAAAGTGGACCTATATTTATAATTTTTGGTGGAGAAATTTGGTATCCAAAAAAAGCCATTATACCAAATTTCCATCTTCGAACTTGACCTGCCTGCAGACAAAAGACTCTATGCAAAATTTTGGCGCTCTATCTCAATTCGTTTAGACGCTAGAGTGATTACAACACACAGACGGACATGCATAGGTCGTCATAGAATTTTACGCTGATCAAGAATATATATATATACTTTATAGGGTCGGAAATAATGCGTTACAAACGGAAAAACAAAACTAATATACCCTCCATACTATGGTGGAGGGTATAATAATCTCTCATAAATTTCCTTGAAATCGGTTCCGATATAGATATAGCATAGCTTCCATATATAATTTCGACTTCAGGATATACCAAAAGGGTGAATGGTATCATATAGTCGGCCCAGTCCGACTTTACTACTTTCCTTACTGGTTCATATTGGATTCTAAGTTAATAAACTAATTCTTTCAAGAAATTATTCAAAATATGTTAATGTTTTAAAATAGCCCTCATACAAATGCCCTGTTTAAATTTCGGCAATTATGAATTCGCAACACAGTTTTTCAACCTTAGTGTGTGTCTGTTATTTTGAGCATTACTTTTTGCGAGCATGAACAATCTACATATAATCCCGACCGACTTAAGGAATTTGTAATGCACACCACGTGATGGAGGTAGAAAAAGGAAAAGCCCGTCCGAACTTAATTACATTTTATTTGTTTTATTTTTCATTTATTACATATTTAAATTATTATTTTTTTTTTTTTTTTTTTTTTTTTTTTTTGTCAGACACAAATTTATTCACATCTTGGCTTTAGACAACATTTTAAATTGTCGGTCCGTATAGTGAAATATTATATAGGTTGTGGTTAATTTTCAATATTGAACTTCTTTCCATCCATCAATTCGATTAAAATACGCTAATAGTGTTATGACAAATCGCTACTCAAAATAAATATTCTAATCGTTTTGAATTTCAACGAAAATAATTGAGAAAATTTAATGACATCACAGTTTTGTGTTTTCTGTTTTTATTCGTTTTGGTTTCTACAGATTAACTCTCAGTGTAAAAAAAGATAAGAAATTGTTTTTATTTCATAGAATTGAGAACAGAAAATATAAACAACGTATTTACGATTATCAGCTAATATTTATAACAAAAACACAAAAAAAAAAAAACTAAAAGAATATTTCTAAAAGGCAAACTGAGAAATACAGAGGCTCAGTTTGATTCTAGACCTTCGACAAATTAGAACTAAAAAACGCAACTAAATTTTTCAGCGGATAATTTAAGACGAAATAGAAAAAACGATGAAATTAAATAGAATATTTTCAATAATTTGTATAACACTTATACAAATAGGCGTAGGTTGGGGTGCCAATATGGTCTGCTATTTGGATACAAGTCGTGTAACAGATGGTAAGTTCGATTTTATAAATTATGAAATTTTATCGAAGATTATTTTCAAACATTTTCCTTGTAGTACAACAAACCATTATGGAAATTGATCCGGCTATGCAATTCTGCAATTATCTCATATACGGCTATGCTGGCATCAATTCGGAAACGTTCACATTGAAAAATCTCGATCGCAGTCTCAACTTTGACCTGTATCACGCTGTGACGGCTCTCAAACGTAAACATCCACATTTGCGTGTATTGTTATCGGTTGGTGGCGATCGTGATGTACACTCTGATTTAGATGAACCAAATAAATATTTAATGCTATTGGAAAATATCGCTCACCGCAATGCCTTCATCAATAGCGCTCAGAGTTTTGTTAGTACCTATGGTTTTGATGGTCTCGATTTGGCATGGCAATTCCCCAAAAATTATCCCAAAGAATATCAATCGGGTATTCGTAAGGCATGGAATAAAGTTAAAGGCTGGTTCAAGAGCAAAAAGGTGGTCGATGCAAATGCAGCTGAGCATAAAGAGCAATTTGTTACATTCTTAAGAGAGCTGCAGCAGAGCTTGACGTCGAGGGGAGCAATGCTGACACTGACAATGTTGCCACATGTTAGTGCTGAATGTAAGTAGAAATAAATTTGGGTAGGTCTCATATAATTTGGATTGTGTTTTCATACAGTTCACTACATTGTGGTACAGGGTACGATGTATTTGTGCATATGTTTGTAACATGCAAAAGGAAACAAGGTTGAATCACTTTCTGAGTCAATTTATGCAGGTCCGTGCGTCCATGTATTTTTGTGAGCAAAGTACAGTTCGCATTTATGACCCGAATAGGATGAAATTTGGCACAAGGACAAACCCTATTGAAATTGGAGAAAATACTGAAGTTAGTATAGCCTAACGGGCGTCAAGTTTTGTTGAAATCGGTTCAGGTTTAGATATAGCTCCCATATATAGTTTCGTCCGATTTTAAACAAATGGTGCACCGAAGACCCAATTTAAGGCCGATTGCCACGAAATTTTGCACAATTTATTGATGTTAGTAAAGCCAAACATGTGCCAAGTTTCGTTGAAATCGGTTCAGATTTAGATGTAACTCCCATATATAGGTCCGATTTTAAGTAAATGGTGAACCAAAAATTAGGCCGATTGACAGAAAATTTTGCACAACGTTCTGAAGTTATTGTAGCCTAACGTGTGTCAAGTTTTGTTGCAACCACAACAACGGGAAAATGCGCATGGAACCTTCAAAATACTGACAATGGGGCCTGCCCTTATATAGCGGTTATTTTAGTCTTCTGACTTACGTAGCTGGCTTGTAACAGAACGGTCTTGTGCGCAGCTCATCCAGTTTGAAAGACTGTTTTCCGAGATGTTGTCTTCCACTTGATCTTTCCATCGGATTCGTGGCCTTCCCCTTCAGCTGGGGCATCCTCATCCATTCTCTAGACATGATCTAGCCAATGTAGTCGGTGTAGCCAGATCAGTCTGACTATGTCGATGTCCGTGAATATGTGGTACAGCTCATGGTTCATTCGACGACGTTATTTACCGTCAACGTAGACCGGCCCATAGATCTTCCGGAGAATTTTTTTCTCAAACACTCCAAAAGCTGCCACATATGCTTGCTTAGATCCACTCAACAGCACAAGAAGTATCAGCGTCTTGTAGAGTGTGAGTTTGGTCTGGCGAGAGGTGACCTTGTTCTTGAATTGCTTACTCATCTGTGGGCCAACACTATTCTTTTCCGGATTTCAAAGCTGATGTTATTAGTTTTGTTAATGGCGGTACTGAGGTATATAAAATCAGTCACTGCCTTGAAGCTTTAGTTTCCAAATTCCACAGTTGATCCGAGTCCACCGAACGTCTTGCGCGTCCATCTCAATTCCTTAAAAGGTGGCTGTTACCGCTCGCAATGTTCGACCCATAATGTCGATTTCGTTCACATTTGCATTTCGTATGACCTTTTCCTGCGGGATGTTAAAAATGTCGCACGAAAGGCTGTCATCTTGTCTGAACCCTTGTTCGGTATTGAAGGGCTGCAAAGGATCCTTTCCGACTTTAACTGCTGACCTTAATTTTGCAGGAATGCCAAATGCAGACATAGCTTTAAACACCTCTGAGCGGATTAGGCTGTAAAATACAGCTTTGGAGCAATTTTTTAATGTATTTTCGGGGGTCTTTTCCAGAGTGGCGCAGTGTGAAAATCTTGTCTATGGCGGATTTGCCAGGTCTGAAGCCGCATTGGTATGCTCCAATATTGTCATTGTTCATTGGCTCTAGTCGTTCACACAGCAGACTGGATAGCACTTTATATCCGATGGGAAGGAGACTTATACCTTCAGGAACCCTTTTATACAAAAGTACAGCCACGTCGATGGGAAAATGCTTCTAAAAATAATAATTTTGTGTAGGAAGATTTGACACCACCTGGGAACCTGAAAAATCAGGTTGATAGGGTGAAAACATGGTTGCATACGGGTCCAGTGTTTTAAACATAAATTTACTGTGAAAAATTAATTTGGGGGGGGGGGGGGGGGGGGGGGGGGGGGGTGCCCGGGCCCCCAGGGCCGCCCCCCTGCGTACGTCCCTGCTTCACCATTATTATGTCCTTGTGCATATGTTTGTAACAGCAAAAGGAAACAAGATAGACACATGGTTCCTTTTGAGAATATGCATAGAATCACTTTCTGTGTCGATTTGCGCATGTCCGTCTGCATAGAATCACTTTCTGAGTCGATTTACGCATGTCCGTCAGTCCGTCCATGTATTTTTGTGAACAAAGTACAGGTCGCATTTATGATCCGATTTGGATGAAATTTGGCATAGGCCACTTATTTGGCCCAAGGACGAACCCTATTGAAATTGTGAAAAATCGGTTCAGATTTAGATATAGCTCCAATATATATTTTCGTCCGATTTAAGGTAAATGGTGCACCAAAGTCCCAATATATCTCTCGATTTGCACGAAATTTGGCACAGCGTAATGAATTAGGCCTAGAGTGATATGTGTTAAGTTTTCTGAAAATCGGTTCAGATTTAGATATAGCTCCCATATATATTTTCGTCCGATTTAATGTAAATGGTGCGCCAAAGTCCCTATATATGTTTCGATTTGCACGAAATTTGGTACAGCTTAATGAATTAGGTCTAGAATGATGTGTGCAAAGTTTCGTGAAAGTCGGTTCAGATTTAGATATAGCTTCCATATATATTTTCGTCCGATTTAAGGTAAATGGTGTACCAAAGTCTTTATATATCTTATGCACGAAATTCGGCATAGGGTACTGCGTTAGATCTAGAATGATGTATTAGGTTTCCTGATGATTTCCAAATGAAACATTTAGTATCGGTTGCAGGATGATATGTTTATGAATCCAATTTCATTTTACTGGTCCTTTAAAAATGCGACGTTTGTTAGGATTCATCTGTTGAATATACCCAAAATGGTGAAGGGTATCATATAGTCGGCCCCGTCCGACTTTACTACTTTCCTTACTGGTTACATTATGGAACATTATGGACAGGCATGAATGAGAGGACCGAGAGGCTTTTTCTTTTGGTCATTTTGTGGAGAAAGTCGGGCGGTATCATCTGGACTGGATCTAGGATTAAATCGATAGGTCTTTTCGGTTCAGTTTCAAAATTTTGTTTTTATAAACAAATATTTTATTTCGTGTGTAGATGAGGGTATTATTATTTATTATTGTCATAGATGTATTTGACCTTATTACGTATATTGTTTTTTCGTCTCTTTTCAGTATTCATAGACATACCACAGGTGATGCCCTATTTGAATTTTGTAACCCTCTCCACCTTTGATTTCCTCACACCGGATAGAGATCCCAAAATTGCAGACTATACAGCTTCCATTTACCCGCTGTATGAACGTGATCCCGCCCAAAGTGTCGATTATCAAATACAATATTGGTTGAATAACACTTCGTTGTTGGATAAATTGATCATGGGTGTTCCAGCCTATGGTAGAGCTTGGGTTATGGATAAAGACTCCGGTATTACAGGATTTCCACCAATTCATGCTGCTGGACCAGCACCGGCTGGTAATTTGACTGCTACTCCAGGTTTTCTTAGTTGGCCTGAAATTTGTGTAAAATTACATAAAAATCGTGATTTGAAAGGTGATGCTGCTCCCGTTTTTAAAGTGGGAGATCCTACTAAGCGTTTTGGCTCCTATGCCTATAGAGATGCTGATGATAATGGGAAATATGGACTGTGGATATTATTGAGGAGCCGGCAACGGCATCAAATAAGGCCAGTTATGCTAGAGTACGGGATTTGGGTGGTGTTGCCCTGTTCGACTTGACCACTGACGATAAATTGGGTACATGTGGTGAGGGCAAGTATCCCATCTTGAGAAGCATTAAATATAAGTTGTAACAAATAAATGAAATGTAAAAAGGGATAATAAAAATAAATACAAATTGTAACCAATATAAATTGAACATGCTGAGTTTCTTTATTAAAGGAGAATTAATTTTCCGTTTTAAAAACTTTGTAAGGTATTAATATTTATCCTCCATCCTGAACAAAAAACGAGAATAATTCTTGAGGAACAAATAACAATCAGCTCACACCACGCCACAATGACGCGTGTAATTAGTCTTCATCACAAAGGTTGGAAACATAATAACGCTTCGACAATAAGACGACGAAGATAACCAAGCAAGAGAAAAAAATTCGACCACGACAAACTGCCAGCAGAACATGACACTCCGCATATTAATCCATTAAAACAAAAAGAGCAAACGAAGATCTGTCCTGATCCTTATCGTATTAATTGTTTAATGAACGAAAAATTAAAAAAAAAAAAATACGAAAGGATGAATGAACGGATTAATCGGCCGTCGTGTGGTAGACAACCACTCAAATTGAATGAGTAATTCGTCTGTCTGTCGTAACGTATCAATCACTCAGTCAATGAGTCAATCAGAATGTCGGGCAAGCCATCCGTTCTTTTCCTCACTCTTCTTGGTAGTTTTATTTTTCTTTCTTAATTGCTGCTACAACAAAGAAAGGATATTAAGCAATTAAAATCGGAAGACAGTTTTTTGTTTTTTTTTTCCTAAGATAAAATGTATGTTTTTTTTTTTAAATTATTGAATAATTAAGACAAGTTTGTCAATGTCCTTGTTTGATGACTGGAAGTAGCCTGGAAAGAATTTGAATCATATCAATCAGCGTGAAAAATAGAATGCATTTAGACCGATTAAAATGCCATTCAGTAGTTCGAAGGTAATTATTTTACAACAAATAAAAATATTTACGGAACAGTACTGATATGGAATACTGAAAGCCAGGGCTGCTGATTCGAATTATTTTTCACTAGACTCTGACTCCAAACCAAAGTTTTAAATGGATTCTGAGAAACAGTAAACAAGCCGTTAAGTTGGGTCATGAAATTTTTATTTTATATCCTCCCTGAGGTGGACATTCTAAAATCGATCGGGACTATTTTATGGGGCCTATGTCATGATAAATTGCTGCAAGGAGAAAACGATAGGGAAAATGGACTACTGAAAATAACGCCTGATATTTTTACAGAGGCTATGAAGAAACATGGACTCATACCGAAATAGGAAGCTGTTTACTCACCAAGTTCTCGGAGCGCCGAAATTTGAAAATTTTGAAAATTATCAAATTGGAGACAACCAACTTGAAAAGCATTGCACTGGTAACTCCATGTTTTCAAGTGAGTTGGCTATTCCCGATTATCAAGATTTTCAATCAGCTGGTAAATGAATACCAATGCATGGTAATGTTTGTAACTTTACACATATATATTTGAAGATTTAAAAGAGAAGAAAAATAATTTGCAAAATGTTGTTGTTGTTGTAGCAACAAAATACATGTCGTTTTGTCATGCATCGTCTGGTTCTGCATCTTCTATCTCCAAATTCAGGAATGCTGCAACTTCAGCGGGTTGCGTCCAAAGTGAATTCGGCGATAGGTGTGTAGGCTTAGCTGGGCAATTGAAGAGGTACAATGTGTCGTGTGTTCCTAGTCCACATGCCGGACATGTGTTAGGTATCGAGCCGTCAATTCTTGCCCAATATGAATTGAGGCGGTTGCACCATCCTGATCTTAGTTGAGCTAAGACTACTCGTGTTTGCCTTGGCAGCTGCTTCTCCTCAGCTGCGATGGATGGGGGTGGTCTCCAATTATGGTATTCACTCGATATTGCTCTACTGCTTGAGCGACTGCATCCGTGTGAATACCATTCAGACCTGCTTGATAGGCTTCTTGATCTAGAGGTTCACGCTTGTACCTTTGGACCTCTCTCTAGATCATGAAGATCTTTCCGACTGCATTCGGACCTGCTTGATAGGCTTCTTGATCTAGAGGTTCACGCTTGTACCTTTGGACCTCTCTCTAGATCATGAAGATCTTTCCTGACGTGCCTGGGTGGGGGAGTCCTGTCCATAAGGCTATGGCAGGGATGTTCCTGACGATAACACCCAAGCAGGTACTGCATCGACAACATATAGTTGTGACGATGGACGGGTAAGATCTTCGTCTCCTCATGAAGATGGTCCACTGGAGTCATAAGGAGACACCCTGTTGCAGTTCTCAGGGCAGCGTTCTGGCAGGTCTGAATATTCTTCCACTGCGTATCACTGACATTCGCGAACCACACTGGCGCCGCATAGCTTACCACTGACCGGCCTATTGCTTTATAAGAGGTCAATGAGGTTTCTTTGTCAGCGCCCCAAGTGCTGCCGGCTAGCGACTTGAGGACCTTGTTCCTACTTCTCAGCTTATCGCATAAAGCAGTGGCATGCGCGGACGACTTGAAAAGGCTGTCGAACGTTACTCCCAATATCTTGGGGTAGTTGGTGGTCGGAATCAATTCTCCATCGACCATTATGTTCAGTGGGAGCTTCATTTCAGCCGTCCATGTGGTGAACAGTGTGGCTGTTGATTTGGTGGTGGATATTTTCATATTCCTCAGATGGAAGTAGTTAACAATATCGGCTATGTAGACGTTTAGCCTCTCACATATATCATCAATAATAGGACCCGACGCCATGATCGTGCAATCATCCGCATACATTACGATCTCTATGCCGTCCGGTGGTTGTGGAATATCAGAAAGGTAGAGGTTAAACAGTTCCGGAGATATCACCCCTCCTTGGGGAACTCCGTTTCACTCTACGGGGTTTAGACTTCCTGTTTCTGAATTCCACATACGACTGTCGTCCACACATATAGTTGATTATCCAACGTTTCACGGTCGGAGATTTGTCCTTTCTATATCCTCGAACAGCTTGGCATGGTTGACGGTATCGAAGGCCTTCGATAGGTCAAGAGCCAGCATAACTGTTCGGTTGCACGGCCTTTCCGGGTTGAGTCCTCTGCTAATATGTGTGGAAATGGCGTGTAATGTAATGTAAAAATGTTGTTGTTGTTTTTGGTGATTAAAGAAAAGTACTTATTTTTTATGGCGGGCATAATAACTCTCACTGGCACGTCGCAATCCGCAAACTCCAATGGCGTAAGAAAGAGTACATGTCTGGCTCTCGTATGAACTAGGGTTATTGACTTTCCTCAAAAATTAAAAAAAAGTTCTGTTATACTTAGCTGGCTTATGACAGTACGGAGAATAGATCTTCCGGAGAATTTTTCTCTCAAAAGCACTCCAAAGTTCATCTTCTTGTGCAAGTACCCATGCTTCAGATCCATACAAAAGCACGGCTAATATCAGCAACTTGTAGAGTGTGATTTTGGTTTGGCGAGAGGTGGCCTTGATTTTAAGTTGCTTACTCAGACCATGGCAGCATCTGTTGGTCAACACTATTCTCATCCGGATTTCAAATCTGATGTTATTAGTTTTGTTTATGGCGGTACCGAGGTATATACATTTTTCCTTTCCGACTTTAACTGCTAACGTTATTACTTTTGCATAAATTTCGACAAATAGGTGGAATGTGTCGATGTATCTTTTGTGAATATTTTTCAGGATTTGGCGCAGTGTGAAAACCTTATCTGTGGTGGATTTGCTAGGTGTGAATTTGAATTGGTATGGTTCAATAATGCAATTGACCATTTGCTTCAAACAGCACGCTGGTTAGCACTTTATATGCGATGTGGAAGAGACTAATTCCTCTATAGTTAGCACATATCGTCTTGTCTCCTTTTTTGCGCACGGGACACATGATGCTGAGGTTCCAATCATTGTGCGTGCATTTCTCTAGCCAAATTATACTGATCAGCAACTAACCACCGGCCTTCAATAGTTCGGTTGGTAATCCATCGGCACCTGCTACTTTATTATTATTCCCTGGTAACCCATCGGCAGCAGGTGCCGATGGGTTACCAGCCGAACTATTCAAGACTGGTGGTCAGATGCTTGAAAGGATCATGCTGATTAGTACAATTTGCTAGATGAATGCATGCCCAATGATTGGAACTTCAGCAGCCTGTATCCCGTGCACAAAAAAGGAGACAAGACGATATGTGCCAACTATAGATGAATAAGTCTCCTTTCCATCGCATAGTCAATGACTTCAGGCCTGGCCATCCACCATTGAGCAGATTTTCACTCTGCGCCAGATCCTGGAAAAGATTTACGAAAAACACATCGACGCATTCCACCTATTCGTCGAGTATAAAACCGCATTTGATAGCCCTTTCCGTTCAGATGTGTTGAAGCCATGTTTTCGGCATTCCTGCAAAATTAATACCACTATGCCGGATAACTATAACTGACACAAGGTCAGCAGTTAAAGTAGGAAGCCCTTCAATACCGAACGAGGATTCAGACAAAATGACAGTTTGTCGTGTGATCTGTTTAAAATCCTGCTGGAAAATTTCGTACGAGATGCACATGTGAACAGAAATGGCAATTGCGAGCGATAAGAGAAACCTCTGAACGATTTGAGAAGGAGTCTGCAAAAGTGCTAGGTCATGATGTGTGAATGAATTAGAGCCTACTGATTGTTCAAGCAGAAGGGGAAGGCCACGAATTAGATGGAAAGATCAAGTAGAAGACTATATCTCGAAACATCGTCTTCCAAATTAGAGGAGATGAGCACGAGTTCGACGCGCCTGAACATATTTTAAGGCCGTTTTATGGAACAACCGTTCTGTTACAAGCCAGCTAAGTAAGTATGTATGTCGGCCTTCAAGAACATTTTAAGCCATGATATCTGTCTTCTTCCTCAATACCAAAAAATGTGTCTGGGAGCTATACCAAAACATACATCGATATTGATAATTTTTGGCAGTAAGATTTGATACTTCATAAGAGCCTGAGAAATCAATCAAAAAATTTTAGGATGTATTGATACATTTTAGGTAGAAAATACCAAATTACAGCTGATTGTATTGACTAAAATACTGATCATTAAAAAGGTGATGTTATATGATGCCTCTGGAGC